GTAAAAGTATGTGCCCTAAAAATATTGTCATATGTCCTAAAATTAGAAGGATTTAGAACACGCATTTTTGCGTGCCCTAAAATTAGTGTCCCGATAAAAGGAAAAAAAACCACGGAGGGCACCTAAAAAAATATGTGTATCGTGTAGAGGTGTCACTTTATATTTTCTTTTACTGAACGCGCGTTTTTCTCAGTAGCTAGGCGGAAAACGAAATCCCAAAAAAAATCAAAAAACCCGCCTTGAAAGATGTATGCCTATTCTTCTCGTCTCCTTCAATCTTCTCCACGTCGAAAGATGTACCGATTCAACGATTCTCCTTCTCTTCCAACATGTCGGTCTTCTTCCCCAACAAAAACATTGACGAGGTCATCCACAAAAACCCTTGATTTCCTGCCAAAAAATTCACCAGTTCATCTATTTCACTTGAGGACGATGCCATGGACATCAAATTCGATTCTTCACACCACCTAATATTCAACTATGGTATATCCCCTTAACCTTCCGGATATTCCATATTCTGTTTTCTGTTCCTCTGAAGACGCTTTGTTTCGTTATTCTATTCGAACCCTATCAAAGATGAAGGCGCGAAGTGCGATCAGGGGTAATTACATAAGTCTAATTCGGGATTTATAATAATATTTGGACCGAATGATGAATCGATTCCGTGGTGTCCGGTTCTTTGGGAATTTTGCCCATTTCCGAACCCTAAACATGAAATTTGAAACCTGATTGAAAGTTTTCCTCGTAGGTTTTGTTACATATATTGTTGTTCTGGATTTGATTTTTTATTGGTAGATTTGTGTTCTAAAATAGGTTCTAGAATTCTTCTTCTGATGCTAATTTGTTTTTTTTTTTGAATAATTTATGCTTATTGTTCACTAATCCTCTTCATTGTTTATTAGTAGAACTAGGAAATGTGAAATGTTGTGCATTCAACTCCTATTTTGTTTTAATTCTTATTTTATTTTGAGTTGATTTATAATTTTAAATCAATTCTGTACTTGTTTTGATCTTCTTTTCTTTATGAGAAACCAGAAAAGCATCGATGACACATATCAAAGTGGGTCCACACCGCTTCATGTTGGATTGTCCCATATCCACCTGATCTTCTAGATAATCCGGATTCATATGGTTTTTGGCGAATCTAGATGCACCAAAAAAAAACCATGAGTTATCTTTAATAGGGCTAAGCAGTATATTAAAGACTATGAGGATCACGTATATCTATACTATTCTTACTATCATCATAGTCCTTTTCTTCATTGTTTAATCTTTTTCCTATTGTATATGTTAGTTTAAGTGTACAAATGTGACCAATAGAGCCTTGGTGACAGATTTTGTAGGGTGCGGTTAGCTTATACCTTTTGTTGAATCGTTTATGAATGTAGATTAGGTTGTATGTGCAATTTCTAACCCAAATAAATGAGGGATATGGGAAAGCTTGAATTTAGCTTAAGGTATCTTAACTATTTTCTGTTACAAACATTATCATTTCCATAAACAGGTGATGGTATTTTGGTAATCTCACTTTTAGATATATTTTTTATTGTAAAAAAAATATGATACTGTGAATGGTTATTTTTAGTTTATTCTATATAATGAACAAAAGTTTATATTGCTTTAAATGTTATATTTTTCTAAATGAAGTTGGCATTTTGTTCTTATTTCTGCAGGTCACTCAGATCCTGCAAAGTTAGAATTAAGAGTTCATGATGCTCAACAGTTATCTACCAATGAGCTAAAGAAATGTCAAATGGAAATCAAGGTTAGAAGCTGAGGCATATATGAGAACTAAATAGTTTAGCAAGATTCAATCAAACGTATTAAATCTCAAGGAGGAGGCCCAGATGCTGAAGTAACATTTTTGACAAAGGTAATAATTAATAATTAATTAAATATATAAATGCAAAATAGTTTTTTTAATAAACAAGTTCAGTTTATGTTCAGATTGAACTGCTGTCAAGACTGCATCACTATCATGTGGTGCCATTACTTGGGTACTGTTTGGAATAGCAATACCACACAAAACATCCTGAGATACTTTTGGTGTTTGAATACATGTCAAATGGCAACCTGAGAGAGTGTCTAGATGGGGTTTCAGAAAATCTCTAGACTGGGGGGCCCGCATTGCATAGCCATTGGAGCTGCTAGAGGGTTGGAATATCTTCATGAAACATCTGCACCAAGAATCCTGCATAGAGATGTTAAATCCACTAATATTCTCTTGAATGAAAACTGGAGAGCAAAGGTGGGAATTAGGATTAATAATTTTTAATATCACATTTGTGAATATTAATAAGTTTGATTTTTAATTGTGTGATGATTTTGTTGGTAGATTACTGATCTAGGAATGGCTAAGAGTTTGGTGAGTGATGGTGTTCCAAGCAGTTCTAGCTCACCTGCTAGAATGCAGGGGACATTGGGCTATTTTGCCCCTAAATATGCGATTGTTGGAAGGGCATCGCTGATGTCAGATGTTTTTAGTTTTGGTGTTGTGCTTCTTGAACTTATTAGTGGTCTTGTGATTTGGGTTATTTATTATTATTTTTTACTCTTTTGTTAATCTTATATTTGCTTTTACTAAATAAGGACGAAGATTGCAATAATAAGAATTATTGGGGACCAAATTTGCAAAAAAAGGGATAAAAAATGTAATTTAGTAAAAGAAAGGGATAGTTTTCATTTTCAGGTGACACCACTTTTACAATATAGCAGGATAGTGAGTAAGGAACTGTCGGACCCACGTTTGAAAGGGAAGTTTGAAGAAAAAGAGATGCAAGTGATGGCTTATATAGCAAAAGAGTGTTTGTTGTTGGATCCTGATGCTCGCCCAACAATGAGTGAAGTTGTTCAATTACTTCTAACTATAGCACCAGAAAAATCTAAAAGGCGGAATTTCTCCGTTGACTTTGAATTTGTCTCTGTTAAGTCGTTTTTTCTGCGTTCTAAAACAAATCTTAATTTCTTAAATAGGATTATACCATTAGAATGGAATGCGAGCTTCAACAATTGTCATCCAGTAGATCATTTTCATCTGAATCTTCATTGCTTGTGCATACCCCTCATGAAAACAAAGAACCAGTTGCAGTTAGAGGTCCCGGTTCACATGGTGGAGATGATGAAGTCACTGTTGACTTAACTGAACCACACTTTGAATCCTTTTGTGTGTCCGATATTTCATCTGCTTTATAACTTGCAATCAATTTTCATAATGACAATGGTGAAATCTAGTGTGTTAGAGGAAGAAGCCATAAAAGCGTTGTATGTTGTTTCAACGATTATTAGAAACAACCTAAATGGCCTCAAATTGTTTTATTCCGAAGGCGGCGACCTAATGCTACATGTAATGCATGTGGAAGTTGACAAATCAAAGTCTTTTCTAATTTAAAACTTGTTTTCTATGGCATTTTGAGCAACGCCACTGCTGATGTTAGACTACGCAGGAGATTAGTGTCACTTGTAGCTGATCTGGCTGAATATCAGTTAGAATATACTAGCAAATGGGAGGTTCCTTTTTTCAGCAATTGTGCCTAGTGAGGCTGCTAATTGATTTGACAGCATGAGGTGACCTTGATCTCTACGAGAAGGTTAATATGTTTATAGTTGTATTGGGTCAAATCTTGAATTGGGAGGTTCCTTTTCTCTACTAAAATCATCCCTTCAAATCTTGAATTGGGTGTTCGTTAATTTCCTCTGACCCGCTAAAAACCTCACGAAATACGGGTCATGGGCATTGGTTACGGGTCCTGAAGATGGTATTGGTCAAAAATGTTACTTCAGCATCTGGGCCTCCTCCTTCAAATCTTGCATTTATATATTCAATTAATTATTAATTAGGTGTTCATTAATTTCCAGTAAAGGACTAAATTTGGTTCTTGTGGGTCAGAATCTTGCTAAACTAAACAATGTTTCAGATTTAATCCGAACTAAATTCAAAAAAACTCAAATCAAAGTTGTTGTGGTATATTTTAGTTGTGATTTAGATCATGGGATTGAGAGGATTAAGGAAACATTTGCTGGTATAGATGTTGGGGTTTTGATAAATAACGTTGGGGTTTGTTATCCTTATGCTAGATTTTTTCATGAAGTTGATGTCTGATTTAATTAAGGTTAATGTTGAAGGGACGACTAAAGTTACAAATGTCATCTTGACTGGAATGATCAAGAGAAAGAAATGAGCTATTGTTAATATTGGGTCGGGTGTTGCAGTTGTTATGCCTTCTAGTCCTCTTTATGCACTTTATGCTACTACTAAAGCGTAAGGTTCTTCGTAATTATTTGACGATAATCTAAAAATGTTGTTTCAGGTTGAAGTATGAACATTATTTTTCTTGCTCTTAACTTAAGATATCGAAATCTACCCTCTTACCATTCTTATAAAAGAAGTTTTTTGATAATTGAATAATAGTATCCTTAAAATTTGTAGAATGAAGTTGGCATTCCCGCAGTTACAGACAACAAAATCCCTCAACCATTTGCTTTAAATGAATCAAGTTTTTTCTCGAAATCTGCCGATATTGCCCCTGATATGAATTCATCCATACAAAAACAGGACAATACTGTTTCTTAATCAAGTATACCTCCTAAAGATATAGATACACACCAAAAAACTACTAATAACAATAATTTTCTCTCTGTTACTGCCCCTGATATGCCTCTTAGTGTGTCCCCAATGGAGGACCTTTTGTGTTTTGTTGTTCCTTGTAGCTTTTCTTCTGATAATACCCCTCCCCATGTTAATCCCCATAACCCAAAAAGTGTCTCACCCCAAAATACCGATAATGCCCCTCCCCATGTTACTTTGAGATTTCATTTATTTTCAAATAAAAATGACAAGTCTTGATTCAACTATGGATCAATCATGTTACTTTGAGATTTCATTTATTTTCAAATTGCTTTATGTTAACAGTATTGAGATTTCATTTATTTTCAAATAGCTTTATGTTTACATTTTTGCCCTCCTTTTTCATGTGTGTTACATTTCACAGGAGTTATAATGAATGATGAAACTGTGCATCAGTTGTGTAAACAGGCTGTTTCATAGGTATTTACCATTTCAACTTTTGACTTTTGACTTCAAGGGTGTTGATATTCTCATAGGTTCATACTCTTAACATTTATATTTATATTTGTTATGCAGCATGAAAGTATTGGTTTAATCAACTCTATGTCTTATTATATTAAAGGAATTTGTGGTGTACTATAATAGATGACAAGGCTACTGGAATGATTGTTTACTAATTTTAATTGATTGTAAACATAACAGTACACTATAGAGGAGAAATTCATTGAAAGAGCTAATAAAAAGCTTGCACTTGATGCTATGGTTATTCAACAATGACGTTTAGCTGAGCAAAAGAGTAAGCATTTCTTCACATCACCTTTTTACTAGTTTCCATTACTTCTAAATAACATGTCATTTTTTTGGCAGCTATAAACAAAGATGAGATGCTACAAATGATGAGGTTTGGTGCTGAAATGGTATTCAGTTCAAAGGATAGTACAATCACAGATGAAGATATCGATAGAATCATTGCTAAAGGAGAAAAGGCAGTTGTTGGGCTGTTAATTTTGTAAGTGCTGGCTTTGGTCAGGTATTTAATATTTTTCGACTACTTTTGTCAAAATAAATAAATAATCTAATAATTTAATTTATGTTTCTCTTTTTAAGGATAAACTAAATAGGTTCATATGGCCTTCCAGTTGGAGAAATAAAGTTGATCTTGCATTAGGAGATATACATGTTGCAAAGTGTATGAGTCTAACTACCCATGTGTCCCATTGGAGGAAGCTCAAGGTTCTTTACTTCTCTTAGAATGTAATAATCCATCTTCACACTAATTTTGTAGTTATGTTTTTTTTGGTGCAAGAAATATAGATACTTTGAGCAAGTTCATAGATTTAGAGTCCTTGAGTGGTGTTATTAACGAAGAGTGGAGACAAGTGAGGCACACATTTAAAAAAATCAGCACAAATCTTGTTTATAGTGAGGCACACATTAGGTTATTAGAATTATTAGTTTGTAAATTTCTGTTACAACTCTACTGATTTGTTTTATCTTTTTATGGAACGATTATTTGTATGACATTAAATTTGATGCAATGGATTGTATTTTTTGTATATGATATTTTATTTTCTGTTATGAGACATTAAATAAAAATTTAATTTGAAAATTAGTAAATCTATAAATAATATGTTTTTTAAACATTTAAAATTATGATACGCAAAATTGTGTGTCATCTTCATTTATGACGTGGCCTTTCTTGACAGGGGCTTTCTTGATACGCATTGCATGTCATTAACACGCGCGTCATAAGGTTATGACACGCGAATGCGTATCGTCTTCCTTTATGACACGGCCTTCCTTGATACGCATTGTGTGTCGTAAACGTGCTTCGTAATTGCGCGTCGTAAATGCGCGTCGTCTCTCTTTATGACAGGGCCTTCCTTGACGCGCATTTGCGCGTCGTCTGAGCCTTTTACGACGCGCAATGAGCGTCGTAAAAGGCTGTTTTTCTAGTAGTGACCCAGCCAGAGGAAGGTAAGTATCCCAACTACCTCCAAAGTCTAGAGCACACGCCCGCAACATATCCTCTAGAGTTTGGATGGTCCGCTCACTCTGACCATCCGTCTATGGGTGGAAGGTGCTTCTAAAGTGTAGACGAGTACGCAGCTTGTAACAACCCAAAATTTTTGTATCATTTCTTGAAACTCTTTTGTAATTCAATTCACGTAACCAATCGTCATTTCCAAATTCGATTTCCGATCTTCCGTTTAATTAAGTCATTAACTGGTACATATTTAAAATGACTTAATGGGTGTCTTAATACATTTAGAAATCATTTTAACACCCAACTTTAGTGATCGGAATATTTCTAGAAATTACCGTATCGGGTTACGACTACTCAATCGGGTAAGACCAAAAGCCTCGTCTAACGCCGGTATCGGGTAGAATTCCACTGTGTTCAGGTTTTAGGACCTATATAAACATGTTTAAGCCTCCATTTGAAGCCTTTGGCCAATTTCTCATTTAACTCTCCCAACCTCTCTCCCCATCCCAAAATCAAAGGTCCAAATCAAAGATTTAAGGCTTCCAATCAAAGAGGTAACACCCCTATCTTGTTATTCAACCTCTTTAGCCTTCAAATTGATGTTTAAATTATGTTTTGGGACCAAGAACATGAGTTTACGGCCAAGGATCATGCTTGGGCCGTAAACTCCTTAACATGGGGGTTTTGAGCCAAATAACCCTTCCTAATCATAGTTGGGACTTAGATATGACCTTAAGGCTTGCTAACCTAGACTTGGAACACTTTAAACATGAATTTTGAGGGACAAAAGAGAGTTTACGGCCAAGACACATTCTTGGGCTGTAAACTCCTCTTAAATGGGGATTTAGTGCCTTAAAACATGTCCAAATGCCTTGAAACTCAACCAATGGCCTTGTGGTAAAATCTAGATGCATCTAAAAAATAGTTTAAGGGTTTGAAACACATCAAAAATGTCATTTATAGGAGTTTACGTCCTAGGAACATACCCTTGGCCGTAAACTCATAAAACTTGTTAAATGATGCATCAAATACACTCAAATGGCTTGCATAAATTTCTAGAATCACATGTGATTGTTTTAAGCATCAAAAACTAACTTTTCATGGGTATAAGAGAGTTTACGGCCTTAGAACATGCCTCTAGGCCGTAAACTCCTAAAAGTATGTTAAATGATGTTCTAAATTCATAACAAGGCTTGGAAAATTATCTAGGATCACATGTGATTGTCCTTTGTAGCTCAAATCAATTTTTCTTGGCCATGGGTGAGTTTACGGCTGTAAACTCCAAGTGTTTGGCCGTAAACTCCCTTTTATGTGTTATAATTCCACTCAATCAATTCCAAGGCATTTTAGAAATCCATTCCAACAATCCCCATGTCCATTTAAGCCATTAAACACCCAAAATCACACCCACATGAGTTTACGGCTGTAAACTCATGTATGTGTGTGTTATGTGACTGTAAACTCTCTAAAATGTTTACTCTTGGGGAGTAAACTCAAGTCCCAAGACCCTAGTGCCATTACACGTCCGAAGATGTCACCCGTGTCACTCCAAACGCTCGTTTTGAGGTGTTTAACCTCGTTGGAGTGTAATGTTCCATATGATTAGTGAATGTATCCCTAATTGTATATATATATATATATATATATATATATATATATATATGGACATTATTTCATTTTACGTAGGGACATCGCGAGTAATCAAACCCCGAACCAACGTCTAGTATTCAAAACCGACACATTTCCGAGTCTGGTGAGTTCATACCCCTACCCTTTTTCACTGTTTTCACTGTTTTCAGGAGGGGAACACAAGCAAAGTACAAGAGAATTCTTGTACTCAAAACATGTTTTCAAATGTGTGTTTCATATTTCATATGCTTTTATTACTGATTACCACAACTGATAACCATTTGAACATGCAGATCACGTAACATATATTTGTGAAATAGGTTTTTAAACTGTTATGTTTTACATATATTTCACAAATGGTTTTCCACATTTTATCAGTTAAAATCATGACATTAGACATTTGAATATAATACTTGTACACTGTTTTGTCCTCGGTAACACTCCATATCTATACGCGAGTGGAGGACTATCACATTATTACTAGTAAATTTGTTAATCCTGTATGATTGGAGACACGTCCTCGGCGAACACTCCACAAAGATACGCGAGTGGAGGACTACACCCGTAACCAGAATCTCTGGTATTTAGAGAGCGTGACTTGAGTGTATAGATCTATACGGGGCTGACTAACCCACACCTGGCTGCTAGCTAAAGCCGAACCGAAATGGTTCAAGGGTGACGAAAGTCATAAGTATGTGGACTACTTATTGCCACATGGTTATGGAACTCGCAATTAGGATAACAGAGATTTACTTATAGTAATAATGAACCACTTTATACACCTTTTACATCTTTTACATCTTTTACATCTTTCACGTACGGTAACTAACATTCAGGAAAGTACGGGACTTTTCTGGGGAAAACATGGAACCTAAATACGTTTACATCTTTTACATCTTTTACATCGTTCACATTGAAAACCAATAAGCGGGAAAGCATGGGGCTTTCCTGGGTAATACTTACATAACTAGAAAGAGTAACAAACTGGATAACACTACATCTTTTACAATTGGTAATATACAATAAGGAAAGTATGGGACTTTCTTGGGAATACATGATAAGTAAACAGAATAGTTTAACAAGTCGGATAACCAACTATACATTTTCACATGAGCAGACATGTTTTCAGTGTACAAACTTACTATACTTTACATTTGTGAAACAACAATTAACTTTAAGAAAATACGGGATTTTCTTGGTATACATAACATTTCAGAAACAGAAAGGAAACTTGAAACATTTTTCACAAACAAAAACCGCTTATGAACTCACCAGCTTTATGCTGATTTTCAAACCGCTTGTGTTCTCAGGTCAGCGTTAGAACAGGTACCCGAAGATCCTTTTTGCTTGAAGACGGTGTACATGAAGATCCGTTTCATTTTGTTTATATATACTATGTATCACAACTGTACAAACTTTACTTTTGAAACAACTGTAAAACTTTTCTTATGTAATGTAATGGTTGCTTTACTTTACTTACTATGTGCATTGGATTTGATACTCAATGTGGAGTCAACCCCGGAAATGTTTCCACCTTCGGTTTTCGGGGTGTGACACAGGTCGTCATGGAACTTCTTCAAAAACCTGGAAGTGAACCGCACATCCCTGTCTGAAAGAATTGAAACTGGCACCCCATGTCGCGTCATTACCTCCCTGATATAGATTTCGACCAACTTTTCGGCCGAAATGCTCTTCTGAATCAGAATAAAATGGGCAATCTTGATCAATCGATCAACGATGACCCAAATCGAATCCACTCCCCGCGCGGTCCTGGGAAGCTTTGTGATAAAATCCACAGTAATATCCTACCATTTCCACAACAGGATATCCAATGGTTGGACCTTGTCGTGAGGTCTCTGGTGCTCAGCCTTGACCTTCCTGCTGGTCAGGCATCTCTCCACAAACCAAGCTACATCCCTCTTCAAACAGGGCCACCAATAATCAAGAGGAAGATCCCTGTACATCTTCATCGCCCTGGGATGGATAGAAAACCTGGATTTGTGCGCTTCCTCCATTAATATTTGGCGCACACCACCATGATATGGGACCCACACCCTACGGTGAAGAGTCAACAATCCACGACTGTCATAGTCAAAGGAGGAAACCTGACCCACAATACGGTTGCTCTTCCGATGTTCCTCCTTTATTCCCTCCTGCTGGGCCTCTCGAATCCGTTCCAATAGCAGAGTCACAACTGTCATCCTCTTACAGACATCCCTGATCTGTGTTGCCTTGCGGCTAAGTGCATCGGCCACGACATTGGCCTTCCCGGGGTGGTAGAGGATCTCACAATCATAATCCTTTACAACATCAAGCCACCGACGCTGTCTCATATTCATATTTGGCTGGTCCATGAGATACCTCAAGCTCTTGTGGTCCGTTTAAATACTACAATGAACCCCATAGAGGTAATGACGCCAAATATTGAGGGCGAAAAACACAACCCCTAGCTCTAATTCGTGTGTCGGATAATTTGCCTTGAGGCGTAAGCGATAACATTCCCTCTCTGCATAAATACCGCGCCCAAACATGAGATGAACGCATCACAATATACTACAAAATCCTCCACACCCTCCGGCAGGGCTAAGATTGGTGCCTCGCACAATCTCTGCCTCAATGTCTCGAATGTGGTCTA